GAGGAGGAGGAGAAGGGACGGGCGGACGGAGGCTTCTCTGGCAGCCCTGGCGGGGAGCTTAGTCCGCCCGCTGGCTGGCTGGCTGGCTCCCTTGCCTTGCGGAGGAGGGTTGCCGGGCGTGTCGTGTGTCTTGTGTCAGTCTTTGCTGAGGGCTTTCTCTCTTCCCCACGTTATGGTGTTTAGGATTACGGTTATGCGCCTCGTCCCTGAGCAAGGCAGAAGTCGTGAAAGGGACAAACCGGGACTGGAATTACAATAAATGCTTTCCTAAAAATTGGTTTTTGTGTTTTTTGGTGGGGGTGGGAGGGATTTTTTTTTTTTATTTTCCTCAAAAAAAAACACACAACAACCCACCACAAACGAGAAGGAAAATATATATATATAAAACGACTCGGTAAGCCCTTTTCCTGTCATAGGCTGGCGCGGCGGCTCCAAGAACGTGACACGGTTGTAGACAAAGGACTCCGAACAAGGAGCTGTCATTCTTAACAGATGTTGTTTCCTGGTTGGCCCGGGGAGGGAGAGAGGGAGGGCTAGGAAGGAGAGGAAGAGAAAGACAGCGACGCGCATCGCCCGCCAGTCCCTTTAAGTAGTAGAAGAGGGCGGGGTGTGTGTGTGAGTGTGTGTGGTTTTCACAATGGCTTGTCCTTCCTAACTTCATCTCCGTCCCAGGCTCCGCCCCCTAATTTCCATATCCAGCGCTCCCGCAGCCTCCATTGGTTAGAAGCGTGTTCCAAAAGGCTCCTGGTGCTTCTTTTAAAGGCCTGCTCGCGTGGAAGTTCTTCAAACTCGAGGAGGTTCTCCGAGAAGCGTGTGGGTGGTTCATGCCGGCCGTGTGAATGCTTGGGGAGCATGTGACACGCAGGGTTGTCTGGATTAGGAAGGCTCACTTTGTCCCCCCTTTTTACCTTGCACGCGCGTAATACAGTCCTCCTGAGAAGCTGAAGAGCTGAGGTTTTCAAAGCCGCTTTTGTCCTTAAACATTAATAGTTTCCATGGGAAAAGTACGAGCCCAAGAGACCTAGCCTGTTATTATTACTCAAAAACACCAGGCACAGTTCATCAAAATTATAAAAACATTGACTGGCTTTACATAGCAGATATACATTTTAACCAAAAACCTAAGTAAATGTAAAGTGTGCTGCTTATATA